ATCTTCAATATATCATGCGTGGTTACAGTCGGTTCTGCTCGTCGCATTGAAGAGTGTTCGCAAATTTCCAAAGGTATTTACAATTGGTATCCAAGGAAAGTTTTGTCACGGAATACAATTTGGTGAAAAACAAAATGTGTTTGCATCTTAATCAACTTGTTGTTTAAAAAGTAGAAAAAGATTATTACCCATGAATGATGTATGTTTAAATAACGACAAACGCACAACACATTAACAAGTGTTTTATAACAAGTTTGATTTAGGGGATATATCGCAATACATTTCCCTCCTTACCTGGCCCCATTTCCATCCACTCTATCTTGGGATCTACAAATTCCATTTCACTCTGATCCGTAAATGTCAGTGGCACGTACCATTTATATCTTAAAAGACGAAATGAATGATAAATTGAAAGGAATATTCAAATCATGTAATTATAATATCTTGTTATATGCTAATCACATAATTTGCATATTTCTCAACAGTTATTATTATTACTTTGACATCGAATCTTTGAGAACAATGTTCTCCGACAATCTACAATAGATTCAGTTACAGTTACCCATAATCTGTATCATATTCATCATTCGGCTCCTCATTTGGATCCATAAGAAATCGTTGCTGTTCCGCTGACACATCTCTTGTATTGGTGCGTGTCAGTGTAATGACTGGATATCCCATCTGTAAAACCCATGGGTTCATACGTACTTCTACGTCAATATTGAGATCCTCCTCCTTCGCAGCCTGTGAATATCCATTGTAACAAATAAACTAGTGGGTGTATGTATATGGTACGGTGATTAGCAATGTTAACCGGTCTGAAAATGCTGTTCTTTCTATGAGCATGTCGTACATGCATTACTAACTTACTGAAAATATAGGGTGTTTTAGTTTGATCTCTCTCTGCATATGTTAGTATCATGTTCCTTGATCGGATACTACGAAGACAAGCTTAGCAATTCTCTAAGTGAGGAATTTGCATACTCAAACGCGACATACGCGCGAATTCAGCTGTTAATATGATGATACTATGAAAATCGTCAATAGTGTTAATTAGGCCATATTGCGAGGAGACCCCCAGATAATATTTACTCAAATTTAAGTAACATATCATCATTGGCAATATGATTATTTTCATCTGTGTTATTGAGTTAAATAAACGTGACTAATGTAAGCGTGCTAAAACAGTACGTGAAACAAAAACTAATTGTTTCTGTTTTGTGTTATATATTACTAGTGATTTCACTCCAATCAACACACTGTGGTCAAACATGTTCCCATCAGTAGTATATTGGAATACAGATCGAGTTAATAGTTACACGGTCACAACACACATACCTCTGTTAGTTCTGCAAACAATTGTGTCGTCTCCGCGTTGTCGTATGAATACTTTATTAAATAATTATATACCCCCGTATGATAAATATCGGCACCAAGAAATGTTTCCATCATCATGTTCATACTGGCACCCTATAATGACATTTCAGATAGCAGCAATGATTTACTGATGTCTATGTAGTAAACACTAACCTTACAATCACGATAGAATATTTAATGTAATATATAAAACAACAGAAAATGAGTGACATAGAGTTACCTCATGTTTATGTCCGATACATTAAAATGGCAATAGCTGTAACTATCGGGATTTTTTTTCCGATTTTTACTTTCACTGCAAGATTTTCTGTGTCATTAGTGCCAATATACTATGACCATCGCCGACATGTGGACACTAACAACTTATACTACCGCTATATACCAACGTTGTATGTTAATTCACTTACAAGTGAAAAAAAAGATGGCCGCGTCCAGGTCTTCAGAGGGTACCATCTATTGGGATTACGATACAATGTAGCGAGGGCTATGAAGATGGCGGCCTTTTAGTGATCACTTTTATGTCCGATTTCCCATATTAGTGTATCAGTGTGCGTGGTGCATTGTAATTTCCCAGGGTTCTCTTCACGTGACTCGGAATTCAACGAAATAGTGACTACTGGACATATCACATCGCATTTTATGTGACATTAGTCATGTGTGTGGTCACTTCGCCCAACGCAACTCTTTTTAAAACAATATACTGTGGTATTATGTATAAATCACTGGGCAAGACTTCAGAAACATGAGTTAGGGTCGATGCCTACCTTTTGATACCCTATCCTATCAAACTGAGACCATATATCGTCGTCCCATCCCACCGTTCTCACCATTGGATGCGAAGACCAAGAATCGTCATAGTCAAACGCTCGATACAAATCATTTCGAAGAAAATACTGATTTGACTGCAAAGAAAATCGTCAAGACCTCGTGTTCGTTATATCGAATGCATATATAAGTGTAAATTATTACCTTCGAATATCCAATGCTATCGAACTGCGACCAGATATCATCGTTCCAACCGACTGAGCGAACGATTGGGTGCGAATCAACAGTGTCGTCAGCAGCAAAAGCGCTGTAGAGATCTCCCGCAGAAAACTGGTTGGTCTATAGTATTAATAGAAGGAAGGAAAGCATGCAGAAAAATCACAAAGCAAGGATGCTTGCAGTGTTAGTGAGATAAGTCAAAGTACAGTTTGTAATTATTGGCATTGTAATTAAGTTAAAAAGAATTTTATAATAAGATACAGTTAATTTAAATTAGTAAGCTTTTATTCACGTAGTAGCACAGACGCATAGTAACAGGTAGTTAGTGCCCGTCATATTAGTATAAAGATACAAATTGCTTCTTGTAAGTAAAGACAAAGTAAATTATGAGTGGGGTTATGTTCAAAGTAAACCATAGAATAGAAAGTATGCTATGATGACGTTGAATAGTTCGAACTCACGGCATCCCATGATGGTTCAGCATCGTCCAGTGCAGGGTACTCGTTATAACTAGCGAATCCTTCATTTAACCACACATGGTCCCACCATTTCAGAGTGACAAGGTTCCCAAACCACTGAAATTATTCATCAAAGTCAATTACATTTATATGCAATCATGTAAAAGGGGGGGGGGGGTATTTACTACCGTGGAACGTATATATCTACTGTGCAGATACCTCCCCGGTATTACTATTCGGAAATCCAAACAAGTGTTGTTTTTGTATGCTTACCATGTGCGCGAGTTCGTGGGCGATGATTGCAGCAACTGAATGTTTTCTAAATTCTGAATTGTAATTAGGATCGTAAAGCAGAGCCGTTTCCCTGTATATGATCAAACCCCAATTCTCCATCGCTCCAAAATAAAAATCGGGTACGGCTACCATATCTGCGGAAAAAGGAAAATGAAATATAAATGTGATATAAATAGAAATATCACATGCACACACGTGCTCTTCCGCATACTATTCGAACACGCATAATTATAATGTGTGACGTGAATACTAATGTAAACGATTACCACATCACATCTACAGTGTCAATCCACACTTGTGAATGATATACGTACGACATAGTCATGTGATAGTCAACTGACATATATTACGTAATAACCCTAATTAAATGACTTGTCGCGTCATGTGAAACAACAATGAATAATCATCACTATTCCTAGAAATGTAAAATAATTGTAGTTACCAGAGCAACAAGAATGATACAGTATATTCAAAATAGTGAGGAAATACCTTCTTTAGGCAAAGGATAGGGGATATTCCAAAAGTTCTCGAAATACGTCAGCATTTTCATCCCTGTTTTCAGGGCATAATGTAAACTATCCACATCTTCCGGGCGACCCCAAACACGCATCTGAAATAAACAATACCAGTAACAGTTAATTTGTTTACAGGGGTCATGTGAGAAGTAGTTTCGACCTTGTCTTAATCATTCAGATATTTTATCTTGGTAGACATCCTCTAGTCTGATGTTATCGTAAAATATAATAATATAATAATAATAATATTATAAGAATGTTCGTTCGTTCGCTGGAAATGTAAATGCGAATAAGAATAAAAATTTACCCATTCAGACATTAAACGTATGTAGATATTGTATTCTCTATGGTCATACACGCCGTTATAGTTCAGTAATGATCTACAGTAATGTGTTGAATTTGTGTGTCATAAATTTCTTGATTTATTCTAGTTGTGATTGTGTAATTTGTTATTATATCAAAGTGAATACAACATACGTTTACAATGGACTGCGAGAGACTGTCAATAGTCAATATCCTTGACATGAAGCGGACGCTTAACGAAATATAAGCTATGACTGGTATGGGTGGATTAAACTACATTTAATACCTTTATTATTTCCCTTAAGGTAGCGAGAAGGGAAATTTTCACTTTTTCTTGATCTTTCAAAAATTGATAAAACGGTTACTTTAGACCTTGATACATCATCCCAGGTTTACAAAAGATCGAAATCGCGAAATAACGTTGCTTAAATCAGTGTTTTAAGACGCTAGCAGAAAAGAATACAACTGCCGTTTCATGGATATTTGCATAATGTTTATCTTTGGAAGGGATTAAATGATAACATCTTATCTGTATACTCTGTTGTTGACGATTCTGATATAACGGGTGATAAGCTTCCCGTCGCAAACAATGCGTCCATTATCAGCATTATTGTCAGTCGAGATTTCGTCGGAGAAACATGGTCATACAGTCCGGGCATACAGTACTCATTTCGCCCAACCTTCCGCTTTTACATCGACCGCTTATCGCTTAATTTCCGACCATGCGGTCTTGTCCGACCGGAAACCGACCGCATTTTAATCGCGTTTTTTTTTCGCTCGCTCGCTCATTGAAACACCGACCGCTCGCCCAAACATTGATCACTGAACTGGAACCTCTTGTTACGTGTTTTGGGTGCTTGTTCTAGATGTAATATTTTTTATTATTTTAATGGGACACTTACTCCTGTACAATACTACACTTAAATTAGATCCTTTATTTACTACAAACCGCATACATCGAACCAGGGTATGGATACATAGGTATAATTTACAACACTGTTTGTTAGTGATCAAACTATTTGTACTCGCAGGGCATTTTCTGACCGATTGTCATAGTGCGTTGCATTTTCAAAATAGTGGCGTCACTGACTTAACCTTCATAATGTATAGAAAATACGAAAGTTGTGGTACTATAAGCAATGGCCCTGGTTGAAGTCGAACCCCGAACTCTGATAAGCTCAAATTCCAACATCTTGATGTACTAGGTACTGGATCCCAGTGTCAAAAGTTAAAGCGTGGGAGTCGTCACCTGCGCATGCGCCAGATTGTTGCCTGTCATTGTTTACAAACAAAAGTCT